TTAGAACAGTTGGGAAGATATAGGGGGCCACCTGGAAATGCATTCATAATAATTTATCTTTATTACTATTACTTTCAAATTGACATTTTATTTTTTAAACAAAATGATTATTGGTACATTTTAGATATACATAATAAAACAGTCATGATAGGAAATTTGTACCAATACGACATATCTTGTTTCTTTTTTTACCCCATTTCCCCCTTCCTTTGACCCTTCTTTCCCTCATATACCAAGGCTTTGTATCCATTTTTTCTTTGATTTTCTGTTTTTCTTGCCCTTTCTTTCCTTTCCCCCTCCCCTCTCCCTTGTTCCCCTTCTCATTTAATAATTTAGATATAAATAGAAAATGTAGTCTTATTTTGTAGTCACAGCTCACAATGTTGTGTAAGACTAACTGAGACTTGAGGAAATGTACCGATTTTAATTTTGCTCCATGGTTTATAGAGGTTGTTATGTATTGTGTCTAAACAGCCCTCCAAAGCCTCATGCAGTCATAGGTGGGTATAGGGAAAGGGTAACAGGAGTTGCCAGAAACCCCTGACATGGTCCTGGTCTCCTGCAAGCCACTCCAATGTCTGTGAGATAGGAAAGTGGGAATTAAAGAAACACAGAGACAGAGACTTGAGAGAAACTGAGTCTTGGGCTGATCTAAGCTGCCTCATGCAGCACAGACCCCAGGACATCCAGGGTTTATTAATTAAAGTGTGGGAAGGTTGGAAGCTGGGCAGGCATTGGGACACCTGCTGATAACAAGTATCAAGCAGGACTGGGAATTTAGCTCAGTAGCACTGTGCCTGCTTCGCAAGTACAAGGTCCTCAGTTTAATCCCCAGTCTAAAAACAACAACAACAACAACAAAAACACTGAGTACAAGCAGGCAGGACTGTAGAATGAGGGCACAAGCATATCTTTGCTGAAGAGAGCAAAGGGTTAATTCAGAGGGTAGGAATTTAGCTGGAGCTGAGTTGACCTTGGCTGTAAGTGAACTTAGCTGACTGGACTAAGTGTAACACAGCCGAATTATGGAAGGGCAAGAAACTTGTGCCACTATAGCCTGATAATACTGGGAATAAGTATTGGCTACATCTCCTTTCTGTTTTGGAAACAGCAGCAGCTGCAGCAGGGTAAGTCAAGGTAGCATGGCATAGAGACATCGGTTGGTTGTAATTTTTGTGTGGCATGCTATGTCTGTTTGTTTCTGGGTCTCAGAGGCAAGTGATGTATTGGGTCTGGTGATCTCCACAGGTCTGAGTTTGTTTTCTGTTGGAACACAAACATACTCTGGCCCTATATTATTTTGTTGTTGTTGTTTTTGAGACAGGTTCTCACTATGTAGTTGAGACTGACCTGGAACTCACTATGTAGCTCAGGCTGGTTTAGAACTCACAGCGACTCTCCTGCCTCAGCCTCCTGAGTGCTGGGATTACAGGCCTGCACCACCATGCCTGGCTCTGGCCCCTATATTATTAATTGTATTGAGCCATTTTACCTTTTAGTGAGAACGTCTTTTGACATGTGTCTAGGACATATCTGTAGATTTATCATATATCAATGGAGTGTTGAAATATATTTACTTTTCACAAATGGATTTTAAATTTTTTAAATGAGGGAATGAGAGAAGGTAACAAAATCTAATTGAGCTTGTGGAGGCTGTTGTACTCTCCCTTTTTAGATTATATATTTGTTTTTAGGGAAAAGCTTTTTTTTTTTTTTTTTTGGTACTGGGGATTGAACTTGGGTCCTTGCACTTGCAAGGCAGGCCAGCAAACTGCTGAGCTAAATCCCTGGCCCCGGCAAAAGCTTTTAAAGATGTGGCTGGATTTAGATGTGTGATGCTGGGATTAAAGGTGTGTGATTACTAAATTAATCCACTGACTGGTTTGGCATATTTCTGGGTATGAGTATTAAGGGCAGATAATCTAGACTATCAAGGGACAGCCGGGCATGGCCATGCCTGTAATCCCAGCACTCGGGAGGCTGAGGTAGGAGGATCGCTGTGAGTTTGAGACCAGTCTGGGCTACATAGTGAGTTCCAGGTCAGTCTCAACTACATAGTGAGACCCTGTCTCAAAAAAACACACAAAAAAGAATATCAAGGGACAGAAATAATCTGCTATTGTCACTTGTAGCTTATCTTCTTGCTGACTTGTGCCTTCTATGAACTGTGTCTCCTCTGCAATGCCCCTCTGCCATGCCACCCTGCCTTGGAGTCAACCAACTATGAACTGAAACCTCTACAAACTGTGAGCTAGCTTTCTTCCCTTAAACTTGTGGGTGTTGGGTATTTTGTCTCAGCAATGAGACAAAGTAAATTACAAAGTAACTAAGACAAGTCACATGGCCAATAATGTCTGTATGAGTTGGGATGGAATTTTATTACTAAAGAGAAAGGATATATTTATATACTAAGAAATATTTTCCCTATTCACCTTACTGCTAATAGAAATACTGTAAAAGGTAAGCTCTATGTTGACTGCCTACAGACTACAGATTTGATTGGCTTGGGAGCTTCCTAGGGGATTAGAAAAGCACAGTTCTGTGTATATCTGTGTAGGTCATGCAGATGTGACCTATAGGTCTGTATCTGGTTCCTCACCCCTTCCTCTCTGGTGCTGTTCCCTGTGTTCTTTCTTTGCTGCACTATGCCTATCCACTATGATGTTCCTGCCTTAGAGAAAACCAGTCATGGGACAAATGCCCTGAAACGATGAGCCAAATTAAACCTCCTCCTTTAAGTTATGGGTGTTGCTGTTGTTATCCAGAGAAGCAAAAGCTCATGAATACAGTGACCCAATCAGCTTAGCTAAAATTGCTATCAGTAAATTCATTATGAAAACTCTTTTCTTAAAATTAATTTTATTGATACATTTTAGATAGACATGATGATCATATTTGCCATAGGGAATTTATACCTGTACATAATAGGGGCCAGGGATTTAGCTCAGGTGGTTCTGCTGCCGGCCTTGCAAGCACAAAGTCCTGAGTTTGATCCCCAGTACCAGACAGAATGTACCTGTACATGATCTATCTTGATTCTTTTTCCCCATTCTCCTCCCTTCTTTCATCCCCTCTTCCTCTCCTTATTTATAAAAGTTTTGCTTCCATTTTTCCTTTTCTTCTTTTCCCCTTTCCCTCCCTAGTTCCTCTTTCTACTTGAATATTTTGCTTCTATTTTACAATATCTATTATACATTTTGGTCTTTATTTACACTTTTGGTTTCTCAGAGCAGAGAATCCATGCGATATTTGAACATGTGTGTTTGATTTAGAGTGTTTGTTCCCCAGTACAAAAAAAAAAGTATACGGTATCAAGGTGCTTTCATTTACCTAGAAATGTCTCAAGTTTACCCTTCTTTATGGTAGGATAGTACTCCATTGTACATAAAAATCACGTCTTCTTTATTGATTCATAGGGCATTTGGTCCCTGTTTCCAAGGGCTGTTTAGCTACTACAAATTGTACTGCTATAAACTTGGGTGCAAATATATCACTGTAGTGTGATGCTTTTAATTCTTTTGGGAAGATATCAAGAAGGAGAGTAGCTGGGTCAAATGCAACCTCTAGTTTTAACTTTTTGAGGAATCTCCACACTGATTTCCACAGTGGTTGCACCAGTTTGCTCTCACACCAACAGTGGAAAAGGACTCACCTTTAGCATTTGCTATTGGGTAATTTCTTGATAATAGCCATTCTTTCTAGGTTAAGATGGAATCTCAATGCTGCTTTTTGCTTTTGGTATCGGGTATCAAACTCATGACCTTGCACTTGCAAGGCAGGTGCGGTGCCACTGAGCTAAATTCCCAGCCCTCAGTGCTGGGTTTGGTTTTTTTGTTTTTGTTTTTGTTTGTTTGTCTGTTTTGTACCAGGGATAGAACTTGGGACCTTGCACTTGTGAGGCAGGTGGCAGGCAACACCAGTGAGCTAAATCCCCACATCCCCACTGGGATGTTTTAATTTGCATCTCTCAAGTGACCACTGATGTTGAACTTATTTTTATATATTTATTTGATGTTTGTACTTCTTCTTCTGATAAATGACTATTTCAGATGCAAATTTTTGGATTGAGTGTTTAAATTTGGGGATATGACTTGAGTTTTTTATGTATTGAAGACATTAATCTTTTTTCTGAGGCACAGCTGGCAAATTTATTTTCCCACTATGTTGGTGGCTTATTTTGCTGTGCAAATGCTTTACAATAAGATGAGATTTCAGTTATTGATTCTTTATATTTCCTGTGTGATCTGGGTTTTGTTCATAAAACCTTTGCCTGCACTTAAATGTTTAAGAATTCTACATATTCTATCTTCTAGCAGATTTAGTGTTTCTGTTTTAATATTTAGGTCTTTGATCCATTTCAATTTTAGTTTAGTGCATGGTGAGAGATACGGTTCTAGTTTTAATCCTTGGCATGTGGAAAACCCAGTTTTTCCAGTACCGTCTGATGCTATCTTTCTTCCACTGCAGCTGTTTGGCCCTTTTGTCAAAGACAAACTAGATGAGTGTGCTTGGAGTTGTTTCTGAATCTTCTAATCTGTTCCATTGATCCTCAGGTTTGTTTTTCCCCCATTATAATGCTGTTTTTAATCACAGTAGCTTTGTAGTATAATGTTAAGTCAGATGTTGTGATGCCCCCTACTTTGCCTTTGTCACCCAGAATGGTTCTTGCTCTTCTAGGTCTCTTCTGGATCTGAATGAATTTTAGGATTGTTTTCAGAATTTTGTGAGATATGCTGTTAGAATTTTCATCAGGACTGCATTAAATCTGAAAACAAAGTTCCATTCCCCATAACCCCCTTAAAATGTGTAAACAATTTTCACTACATTGATTCTTCCTACCCAAAAGCAAGGGATATCTTTCCATTTTCTGATATCCCTTCAATCTCCTTTTTTGGAGTACTATAGTTTTCAGTGTAAAAGGCTTTTACTTCCTTCATTAGATTGATTTCTAAGTATATGAAAACTTTATCAAATGAGGAAAATTACAGCTGATTAAATTGATGAATATTGGCATGCTCCTGACCCAGCCACCAATGCTCAAACGCCAGGAAGATTTATACTTAGGCAGAGCCACGCCTGCTCCCCACCCAGCCACCATCGCTCAAGCGCTGGAAAGGTAGCCGCATAAGCCCCCCCATCCCGCACTCTCAGACCTCCTGACTGTGCCAGTCATTGGATTCACTCTGCAAAGACAGAGGTGGTCATCAAGGGTATTTTTCTGAATTCCCAACTTTGAACATCTTTAAAGAAAGGGCGTGGAAAACCTGTAATAGAACGTTGCAGAGTTCAAACATTCAGAAGGATGGGGAACTCAATCTGGGCCTTGCAGCCCAAGGTCAGTCAGCGTCAGGGGGTTCAGCTATCAGCTAACTGAGATCAGGGGTCTTGCTTGCATCCTCGCTCTGTCTGAGCCATTAAATGGTAAATACACTATATTGAAATTTTGTTCACTGCAGACATGTTCTGGACTGCTTCTTGATTTCAATTTAATTCAAATGATTTAAGAGTGATAGACTAGTGACTACCACAGGTGGTCAGTGTCCAAGTTGTGCTTGATCTTAATGTGTTGCTGATTGTATCAGTTGGGATAAAGCATTGCTGTTGATTTGATGAGCTGTTTTCTCTGATGTTAGAAAGATGAGAATGTCTGTGGGTCGTTAGAGACACAGAAGCTAGGGTGCAACTATATCAGGAAGATTTGGGTGATAATCCAGAGATTAAACCAAGGACAGTCAACAACAAAAATTAAAATAAGAAAACACTTAAGCAAGACACAAGGACTGACTTCTAGTTCACCAATGGCAAACAGTAGGGCAAATGAGGATGAAAAGGCCAATAGTGAACCACCAGGACACTCTGAACTCAAAGCACAGGAAGTAACAAAACAGGTCAATCAGGCTCTAGAAAAATTCTAAACAGAAATAATTTCCCAGATAACCATAGAGATAGTGAGCAAAATGGAAGTCATGATTCGAGACTCTAGAGCAGAAACTGACAAAAAAATAGATGAGCTCAGGACCATGATAGAAGCCATGAAGGCCCAACATAAGAAAGAAATGGAAAAAATAAATGCCCAACATAGGAAAGAAATGGAATCCATAAAACAGATTCAAACAGATAGCCAGGAGATTAAACACTCTATTGAAAATGTATGCAACAGAATAAAAGATAGGCTCTCAGATATAGAAGATAAGATTGCAGTCAGTGACCATGAAAAGAGAGGTCTCTTAAAAACAGTAAGATATCATGAGAAATTGATCCAACAACTCCTAGATGATGCAAAGAATAACATAAGACTGATAGGAATACATGAAGCAGCAGGAGAAAATACAAATGACTTAAAAAAGCTGTTCACAGAATTAATGACAGAAAACTTCCCAAACAGAGGGGAAGAATTTGACATTCAGATAATAACTGAGGCATATAGGACCCCAACTATCTACAATCAAAAAAATCTACACCTAGACATATCAAGATCCCAGAAACCCAACAGAAGAACAAAATACTACAAGCAGTAAGAGAAAAGAAACAAATCACATACAAAGGAAAGCCCATCAGAATCAATGCAGACTTTTCAACACAAACCCTTGGGGCAAGGAGAGCCTGGAATGATATATTTCAAGTACTAAAAGAGAACAACCTCCAACCTAGACTGATGTATCCAGCAAAACTCTCTTTCAAAATGGATGGGGAAATAAGACACTTCCATGACAAAGAAAACCTGAGAAACTACATGAATACCAAACCAGCACTACAAGCAATTCTAAAAAATATCCTAGAAAAAGACAATGAAGGCAACAACACCATGAGGCCCAACAGAGCAAATCAAATAGGCAAGGCAAGAAATTAAAAGGAGAAGGTGAAAAAGTAAAAAGAGTCAACAAAAGGCCAATAACATGTCAATAATAAGTCAGTACATATCAGTCATAACCATCAATGTCAATGGCCTCAACTCACCAATCAAGAGAAATAGACTGGCAAAATGGAATAAGAAGCAAAATCCAACAGTATGTTGTATACAAGAAACACACCTAATGTAAAAAGAAGCCCATAGACTGATAGTGAAAGGATGGAAAACAATTCTCCATGTGACAGGAGCCCAGAAAATAGCAGGTGTAGCAATCTTATTTGCAGACAAAGCAAATTTCACACCAAAACTGCTTCTAGTATATTGATATAGGACATTACTGTATCATAACTCTGTGAATGTAAAATATGTAACACATAGTACTAAATATTTAAGGTTATATCTACGTGGGTTTGATTACACAAACTAATAAAGTATTCTCTAAATAATGAAAAGAAGGAATAAGATAAGACTATAAGAGCGAGAAGCAATTTAAATATGTTCAATACTGTATTATACCTCTGTTAATGTAAAATATCTAGTACCTGCTTTATGATACATAGTAGGGACCATGCTTTATCAGAGCTACATTTAATAACTCTAGAATGTTCTCTTTCCAGATAATGATTAAGAGGCTAATAGAAAAAATTGTGCCAGGTAGCACAACAGCAACAGAACTTTGCTGTTGTCTGGATATTATTCTTTTCTTTGTTGTTTTTTTTTTTAATGGAATGTGCTGAATGTCTGTAATTTTGTTCCGATGACTGCAGAACCTGGAAAAGCTGTTGCTGCTATCGATG